ACATTGATGAGTTCAGGGCATACACGAAATTTTTGAGAATATTCTAGGAACACTTTCAGGCGTGGCAAGCGGTGTCATAACTGGATTTAATCTGTAAGCTGTAGTCTAGGGGCACGTAGGTGGAGTAAACCGGTTAACCAGTGTTAACGGGTGGTTGACCGTTCAGCTGGAAAGCCAAGTTAGGTTCTGTAATCAAGGGTAGGCTTTTTTCGCGTTGTTTTCGACAGTACGGTCATAATGTTTAAAGTAGAAGAATCAAGTCATGTGACAGTAGGCCATTTTGTCTGTCTCTCTTGCTGTCTGTTGTTGGTTGTGAATCCAAACGCAGCGCATGCTTTGGCCTTTTCTTCTTCTCACATTAATGACCCAAGTATGTAACCGAAGATAATTTTTCCGTTCATGTGTTGACCGTGTGATTACTTTACACTTTCACCTGAATATGTGGGACTTTTGAGAATCTCAAGGAAGACGTCCTGCCGAAAAATTTCCCATCGGCTCTAACGGTGACTAATGATTTCTTCGTTGGGATAATCAGTCAACTGACAACTACGTGAGGAGCAAAGCAATGCAGAACTGGCTTGCTGACAACTGCCGATGTCAGCAAGGTCGACGCTATATATATGCCAAAAATACGTCGAGTGGCCATCACTATTGGCTCAAATGATGAACGCATCAGATTCACAAGGTCGTATTATTCTGAGAGATATTCACATCCCATAATTTACTCTATATACTTTTGTGGGCCTAGTCTAATGGAGCAGATAAGAAAGCTCACCACCCTTGACGCCATCGGGGCTTTCTATATTAAAGCGATGGCCCAAAACATTCATAAATGAGGGATTTAGTTGAGTCTTGGTACACATTCAACAGTAGAATCTTGACATCAAAGTGCGCCGAAGTGCTGCCCTCAGTCAGTCGCGTGTCACGTGTGTTAACAGGGCTAACTGTTTCCAGTTACTTGCAGTTTCGTGTGGCCTACTTCAGTATACAAGGACGACACGAGCGTGGCAAACCGGGCCCAACACGAAAACCCAGTCCCAAGTGTATGCACGTTAATTGCGTAATACGCGCGCTTGCCTCAGCGACTGGACATGTGAAACTGACACCAATCACAGTATGCTAACCATCCTCTGTTATTATTCCGTCAGTTTTGTGTTCCCTGAAGTTTGGATCGTCGGACAATTTCACTCGCTGAATCCTCGGCGTAGTCGTCAATGTTTTCAGCATAAACCAACAGCACAGAGCGCCTACACCCTCTTTGGTCTTTCGAATCGTCTTCAGAAATGAAGGATTCAAATGAGAACTTTCGGTGTCTTGTCGGGCAACACCGAAAGTCCCAGCGATAAAACTGTGTCCAGGTCAACCAGTCTGACCAAAAGTCGACCGCAGTGTTAACCTGACAATGCATAAATAGCCTGCCAAACAAACTAAATGTGTGTTCATTACCGTCTCCATCCTTCATTGTATGCAATCTACACATTTTTTCCTGCCAAGGGCTCTATATCTTAGAAAATGGACAAATATCGTAGCAAGTTTGCTATAATTTCTGCCCGCGAGATGAAAAAGAACAGCGCTTCGGGTTTCAGAATACGCATTTATTCATCCAATCAACCCGTTGTTGTTACGTGCAAACTCCGAAATAACGGAATTTCCGAAACTTGATGCCATTAATCCGAATTGGTTTTGCGGTACTTTACCGAATGTTTGAGTGAGAAAGACCTGTCCAATGAAATTGTAATTCCCAATTGCCTAGATCAGTTGTGGCAAGTTGGTCACATTTTTTCACAAAGAACTAAATAATATGGTAACTGCCAGTGGAATTGACATTTCGCGAATAATACTGGTTTTGATAAGAGACCCAACGGAGCCGCTCACCTGTGATGTTCCTCGCCTGATTGTGCTGCAAAAGGCCCACGTAATAGTATTGAGTTATTTTAGACGTTGCAATATGTTACCTTGACGGAAAAGTAGTCATCACTTTGCTGACACATGTTTGATGCTTCCTGACTGGTTTCAACCACCTTGATATTCAGCTGTTTGCGCATTCCCCGAGATTCCTCTCGGATTACATATTGTATGCAATCGACAAGGTGTATTCGTTTGCGGTTGGCAAGCGAGTGCATGTGCAACGTGTTGTTTACGCTATACATAATACCGACAATAACTGACAGGCTATTTCGACCAGGTGAGCGTCACGAAGAAGAAACTTGCCGTTGGCTGTTTGAGCGTTCCCAAAAAGTCCAGGAATAGCGCAATAAAACTCTAATTGCCGCCATTCCGTGACGCATTTTACCCACGCGGATCGGTTCGATATGCAAATGTGTCTAGACAAAACCAGATGTCCTTTCTTCTATATTCAGTAGTAAACAAAAGAAACAACGGAATGGCAGAAGGAGAAATAAACTGCACGCAATACAAAGTACTGCGATGATATTAGCTCACCAGTGCTTTGAGAGGTTTCCGGACTGAACATTCCCATGTCTGTGGAGTCGCAAGGAGAATTTTCTTATGGAATTTAGTAAAATTACTGTAGAAAACATGTTTTCTGGTTTCTTTAGGACTAACGCAAATGGGCTATAACTTTGCCCATCAGATGATTTTGGGAAGAAGGATCTGGACTTCCGTATTTAAGGCCGTGCCACCCTAGTTTCTGTGTTTTTTGCTGTCCATTAAAGATTTTAGCACCTCGACATTTTATTAGCCAAAAAAATTAGGAGTTTTGGTTTCAGAACCAACTCAAAGCAGACCAAACGAGCATACCAAAATTCTTTCGGGTTGCTTTATTCAAGTACATCCCAGCGCACTCATTCAAATACATGACGTTTGACGGCGTTTACGCAAGTTTTCAAGAATGCCAAACTCGGTGCAATTTAAGCCTCAGAACTGATATTCGAAAATAAAAACTATTTTGATGATCTGAAAGGCATCTGAGCTTATAAGGAATTTCGCAAATATCGAAATTCGGTTCTGTTCGGAGAAGCAGACATCAAATTCGAAAGGTTATCTGATATCGTGTTATAGATGTCCCGTGTAATCTGAGCTATTTAGTCGTGAATATGTGGAGATAAGGCGGAGAATCACTGGTGAATATCTTCTCGCAAAATACCATAAACAAGGGACACAGTTAGCTATGTACGTATTTCAGACACGTAGCGCCTTACTCCTGAGAGACACCTAACCGTTTTTCACAAACTCGTTCTGGCAAGTGTGTGAAGTATCTGAGTACGACGGTTGCAATTCGCAAAGCCTTTTTGCCATTTTTTTCGACCTTCAAAAGATTTCATATGGCTACGGCTTTGAATGGTGCGTCTTGCACATTTTGAATCGTTTGGTCTCCTGCGCATCCATGGTAGGCGTGGGTACTTCAACGATCTTGATATGTGCCAGAAGGCACGTAACTGCACCGTCTCAGATGAACATTACTATCGTTGATACCTTAGGACAAAAAAGTGATGCAGCTCAACGGACTGGACTTGGTAGTGGAGCTGGCATCATATTAAACCAGTTAAATTTTTGGCTCTCCCAGTGTACAAAATTCAAACAAAGAGTATCAGCATTGTGCGTCAGTGCGAGTCCTTACAGGTGTGAGGTAGAACCTTGCAGCAAATTTATCTTGACGTTTTACTGAACAAAACCTTTTGTTGGTCATGTGACCATGATATCCTTAATGCGCTCACTTGTAGCCATATCCGCAGCCAGTAAGCGGTAAATGGCTTGCAGACATAAGTGGAATAAAAGAGCCAATGTATTTCCAAAAACCGAATTTCGGATACTATACTGGCCACAAGCACGTTATCGCACATCGTTATGTGTAAAGCAAACTCGGCCTTTATGAGCAGACAACGGACGGACCAGTTTGGCTGCATCACAGATAGAAACTGTGGATTGTGACGAATTGTATAGGAAAAAAATGGAAACCGAATAGCTGAATATGCGATAATCCTACGCTGGGCAATGCAGGACCCAACTGTAGTAAAAAACGTAATTTGCTCAAAATTGTTTAACAGGACTAGACTTATTAGAATTTCACGGACTGTCATTTCCGTTTGCAAGAGGGAATACGGTATTACTAACACGGAACAACATAATTTTCGTCACGTGCCAGTCGAAGACAAGTTCGAATCATCGTCGGTGAAACAGTCTAGTAATGAAACTCTTAAGTCATCTGTAGCTTCTAGGAGTGCCGTCATGGGGAAGAAAACTCAGACGAATATTCTGTACTTGTGAGTTTTTCCCATAACTGAGCAGTACTTCAGCTAGAGCCATCTCTCATCTGTAGTTTGCAGGCGGAAAATAAAATTCAACCGGAAAATTCTGAATGGATAAAATCAGTTCCGTTGGTCTATATTTAACAGACGTTATAACAAACGCCTGAAGACGCTGTGATTAATGATTTACTACTCTAGATCATCGGCAAACCTATTTGAATAGACATGTTTTAAAAAAGATCAGTTTTTTTTATTTCAACGTGTAGCAGTACTCGACCGATCATGGGGCAGGTGCATACGAAAAGTTTGTAAATTAAAACGTAAATAGACAGTGCGTAAGAGCGCTATATTTTCACGGTTTACTATAGATAAGTCAGCTTTGACACAATTATAGCACGAAATTCCTTTGAAATTTTATGCGAAATTGAACGCGAACAGAGACGCACGCGGAGATATTTGGAACCCTCCACATGATCCGTACTCACCGAAAGAGTATTCTGTGTTTCCATCCTACTTTGTTCACTTGTTTCATTGTGGCTTGTCATATAGAACTTTTCTGATCGCCATATGCAGCGCGGTCAGTACCTGGTTATTCTGAGGATCAAATCACCACCATTGGATTCGGTTTTCAATGATCTGTTTCATTTCAGTAATGACTTACAACGTGCTACACTTGAAGACGTATGTGTGCAACCAGCTTCCTCTGAAGCGTGAAGCGAACGAATTTGTGTATTGTATTATGAGCGAGAAAACTTTTGGACCAGGATTTGAAAATTTGATGAAAATTACCGCGAACGATTTGGGGAGCAAGAAAGAAGCAATTCGCAAGTCAACCATGTGCGAATTCGTAATATGTTTTGCACTTTCGAGATAGACACTCACCAACGGCACGCTGGGAAGAAAAAAAAATGCTGTGTAGCAGGTGATGCGGAAATTCCGAAAGTTTTGCAACCCACCCAGACGAATGCCAAGCGAAAAGATGGGTTTTCCAGTCGTCACTGTGCTTGCCTATGGATTCGGCGTTCGACAAAAGTGGAAGTTTACAACCTGACGCTTATCAAACCACGGAAACATTTTTAATTGTTGGGAGAGTTCGCCTAGCCGCTCTCGGTTTGTCGAAATCCCACGCACTAGATGAACATGGACAGTAGTGACCTGCCCGCAAAAAACGTTAGAAGGTTCAATGGTGAAGAATCGTGCATTCAAGATGACCCTATTTACACTATTATATTGTTTTATTCAACTTTTTATTTAAGGTTTTTTGATGGAAAATCCCTTTTGGTCAAGACAAACGATCTCAAAATTTACGTAACTGACCGATGGAAGTCTTAACCTAATTAATGATGAGAGAGTAACATACACACAGAACCGCACATTATTAGATCAGTCTGGTGTAACGTCTGGATTTTAGAATTTGCACTGCAGGTTCTCCTGTTCCGGCGCGAATATTTTAGGCAGTCCACACAAAAGCCAAGTGGACGGTGCATCGGTATAACCAAAGAAACTGATGTTTACTTAAAAAATTAAAACTAAGCATGACAGCATAATGATATTGTCTGAATATCCATTATGAATAGCTGAGGATGTTAAACTTAAAGCAACTAGCCTCAAGACTTTTGGATTTTAAGCTCTCTGAGTGAAACCTGGAAAGCTGCTTCTCCTGTTCCACGCAATCATAGCTGTCTACCTGGTTCCCCAGCACGCCTGCGCAGATACGTCAGCGAGTGCGTTTGAATGCTTCACGGTCCTGAATCCGGACGGTGATTGCGCTGCAGATTTAGGTCGCAAACCCCAGAGGAGGAAACGTAATGAAATTTGTTACTGGACGAGATTTACACGCAAGACAAATCTGCTTATTAGAGGGGTTTGTAGGGGACTCCGTGGAAAACAAATGATTTAACTTTTTCTAAATTATTTCGCTTTTTATAAACCACCCGATTAGCCCGTTTTAATCTGGCGACGGACACTCAAAGCTCAGGTCATCACGCAATTCAGCCAGTTTTGGTACACTGTGTTATATTTAAAACTAAACAAAACGCTATTGGACACAAAGTCCGTACTGGAAATTTTAATGACTTTTATCGGCAAATCGGCTAATGTCTGTAGATGTCTCCGAAGGAACAAATATATAAATCTTCATAATTTAGCGAACCTTCAACCGAGTTCTCCAACAAATATATATGGGGAAAATCAGTTCTGACGCTACAGTGGGTTGAAAGCTTCAAGGGATATTCTGACCGTTCATATTTTGCGCTGATTTCAGATAGAAATTTCATGAGAAATGAATTTCACCAAATTGAAATAGTCAGGTCCTCCTGCCAAAATAACCTACATTCTAATGGCCTGAAAGACTGTTTACCTTGTTGAAAGACTCAGGCTCTCCTTGCCGTCATCGTGAGCATCAGCTGACATTCTTCACCATTAAATGCTCGGCGCCAAACAACCACGATTTATTCGAAAGCGTTTTTGTGATGGTATGGAGAATTGGTATCCAGTGCCTGCAGCTTCATTAGCTGAAGTGGACAATTTGGATAACAACTGGAAACAAGAACTTCACTGCCATTCAAATTCAGCCGCAATTTGAGCATCTGTAATCACGCGGATGGAGGTCGAGTTGCCATCACACTGAGTAGCGAGCTGCACGGAGAATACCTCTTTTGGTTCCACCGTTGTCCACCTCTGTGCTCTCCGTATTGCGGATCTCTGTTTGGTTAAATTACCCGGTGTACAACCGAACACGTGTTTGTATTTGTCTCGTACAGGATTCTCTCGAATTGGAATGATTGAAATACCTTTCTGAGAAAGCGGAATACTAACTATCCGGAAATGTAGGATGTGACATCATGCTTGTTCGTCTGACGCCATGCGAAGAACTACGAGAACCATGAGCATAGCTTTAAATCAATGTTTTGTTCTGCAACTGAAGTCACCACATGCTGGAAGGCTTGGAAATACCGTAGGTGAAACAATTCCCATGCCACGAGAATTTTTGGACCATACGCCTATTAAGGTGCTTTTGATCTCTCCGAGGCCTGACTGGAACATAGAATGTGGACAAATCTTGTTTTTCTGTGGTCTAATTTCTGACCATTACACATGTGATGCTCAAGATTGCAGCTGGGCGTATTTGCAAAGAAAGTAGGATTCAGGATATGTCATTCACAAGGACGAACGGTCGGCACTAGCTTGTGGTTGAAAATCGTTCGATTTCGACTAAATTCGCCCGAAAAACTAAACTATGATGGTTTGATTTTTTTAAACCGAGAATCTCATTCTTCTGCTTATCAAGGTTCAACCAATTCATCAACTATCGTCTTCCAGAATCCACATTTTCAGCGCACTACATCGGGGAGCTATTTGAATTTTAGACTACCGAAATGAACGAAGCTGCCCGTCCTCCAGCCATCAGGACGCAAAATATGGCACACTATGTTGACTTCCAAAATCAACGGGTTAATTCTTTTACAGTTAGTTGATACACCAGCGCCTATATCATCCTCGTACACCATTTGGTTTGCTGAGTATTTTTAAAATAGTATTTTTAATCTCATTTCCGTCAAGCTGCTCCATGTTTCGATGTTAAAACCTTTGTATAATTTTACAAGGGAATTTTCCATGCGTCCATAACAGGAATCTTTTAACATAAAGGTCAGGCTTATCGGACACAAAGGCGACTATACGGAAAATATACAAAACGTTTGACTCGAGCAAGCACACCTACATGAGTTTTTGGAAAATATAATTTTTGGGAAGAATCATTTCGATTATTATCATGCTCGCGTTCGATGATGTCGCCAAAAGTTTTCCCCAAATCCTCTGCAAATTTAAGCAAAGTTAGGAGTTTATTTTGCACCACAATTTTACCGATGAGCAAACGGATATATGATTCATTTTCACTGAAAAACAGATCTCAGTGATTTTATTTAAAATAGCGGTTTAGTTGGCGGCAACGATTTTTCGTTGTTCGTGACGACTTTCCAACGGTTGTTGCCTATTTGTGTTTAGTGCCCCGATAATTAAACAAGGGTTTCGACGATCCACTCTCAGTGAACAGGAGAGAACATTACAAAAGGGGAATAGATTCACCCTACACCGGTAGTCCTGTACAAGTATTTCCTGCCAAGGCATAACGCTCTGCCTTAAGCAAACTATGCTGTTTTGGGAAACCCTGAATTGTCCTTACTTCTTTTGGGCGGTGAACAAGGACATCGACTGATAACTGATGAGTATTACGAGTATTTCGTCGGACTGAGCTTAATTCATGTGGCTCGTTTTTGACAAACTTTCCGAACAATGAGTTATTTGATTCTGCTTGCTTATATGTAACTTCAATGTTGCCCAGCGGGTTTCTTGATTTGTTGACTGAGCAACAGATCCTCGTGGCTTTCATGTAAGCTTTTCGAAACTGCTAAACTTGTGAACAGTCCAAATCCGCAAAAAAGTGTTTTTCGTTTTATAAATGATGAGATTATGATTGAATTGTATATCGCAGACGCATTATGCGTGAGTATATAGGACGGATGGTACAAATCGCTCTGGAAATTATGGTTCGCCGCTAGGAAGGTCTTTTTTGGGCATCACGAACACATAAGTTTGGGTGGCACCGTGCCAAAGACAAGGGTGGGCACTCTAAACAATTCTCATTAATGAGACAGTTTGTGCTTCCTCATCTCACATGAACAAGAATAAAACCTACTTTGATTATTGTATGCGCTTAGAGCTCGTCTGCCATGCTATTGTCTGTCTGCTGAGATTGCCGCCTACGTAATTATCGCCGCCGAACCTATGAAGACCTCGTGTGTTTTGCCATGCGGGTCCTTGGAACGAAAACGCCTAACAGTTCACCCACCACACAAACAGGACCACAAACTAATCGCCTGTCGTCGTCCACTTAGAGTTCTATTTTGCTTTGAACAAGAAATTCCACAAAATCCTATATTTCTTGTCTTCTTCAACAATCCGTCCCTCTGCCCACAGCGATCCAAAATCTGCTAACTGATGACAGAATCGCCACCTGATTTTAGGTTGCTTTCACTATCATTTGCGACCCGTGTTCACCGTCAAGCTGGGATTGATTCCATAATAACATTCATTCATTGTGGTCGCTTCCATAAGCTGTGAATCCGGGTAATAAACAATGGGTCAAGGCCCAGATTCATCCCAACCGTTTCGCGCACATCTTTGTCTTGTTCAGATTTTTTCAAAGGGTGCGCTGAGAATACTATCGGTAATCTTTGTGAATCCGCGTCACCAAACATTGCAAGCTTGTACAGGGCTCAGGCAACGCCGCTTCAGCCCGGTGCCTTAAATAAATACGTTATGTGAATACACAGAATGGCAAATCTCCCCATGCATGCGTTTCGCATACGAGATTCTTCATGAAACCTGCAACTCTACCACCAACAGTATCAAACACCTATTTGTCAGGTGGAACGCTTTATAACTACGGTTACACTCTTTTCTCAATCAGTTGGTCATTATTTGCGATTACCAAAAGATGTACTGGAATATGGGGGATGCTTTTGTTGATCGCTTTTATGATGTGCACCGAAATGCTATATTTACTTGCCCACCAGTCACATATTTCACAAGCTACTTCTCTCACAAGAATTATTCTGCTGTTTACGTTTTCCTGTGAACACATTGAAGCCGCATTTCGTGCAGTGATCTGCTCAATGCCCGATGGTCATTGGTACTGTTACTCAGTAATTTGCACGAGTTTCCGGCAGCCTCTTGGAAAATGCCATAGTTGTTATTTGTTTTGAATCATGAAAGTTTCTCGCCGTTTCAGCTACCGAAATTTAGTACGGTAAGATCTCTCCTACGCAATTCTGAGTGCGCTGGCTGCCTGAGAAAAATGAGGGGAGCCACATTTCTATGAATGATGCGTTTGTTCGGCTACTTGTCTTCTGCTTGTCTACACTTGTCTTCAGCCACACATAGTTTCTTGGCCAACCTCACGGCATTCGCGGTGGTTTCATCTGGTTTATATTTCTCTTTGGATCACCTAAAAATCTCGTCGTGTTACCATGAGAATACAATATAGCTGGAATTTGGAACATTATATTCTTGAGAAACACTGGAAGGTCCAATTCGAAAAGGTTGGACAACAGTTGTTGGCAGATTTTTTAACAACATATTGACACTGGCGTTTCTCGAATCCGTTATATGTGGCAGGTGCAAGAATAACCGTATTCGTCAGTGTTAATTCCGCCTGCATTATGAAAATATTGCATTACAATGTAAGGACGCTAAGGTAATAAATCATAATACCCCTATATATTTGCAAGATATCGCAGCGGATTTAAACCACCAGTATTTTCCT